AAAAAGCTGCACAGACATAGATAGTGATATTCTTAATCAGGATCTTTGGGAAGAATCACAATCTAAATTAAGTAAACATTCACAAACACAGCAATGGAGAGTACTTCAAAATACTGCAAGATTTAAGCATGTATGCTGTAAGAAAATGCATATTAAAACTCTGATGCCAAAAATACCTCCACAGACTGTCAGAACTCTCTTCAAAGAGAAAATATTATTAATGCTGTGACATGCTCTTCTGCCCCTTTGCTTTCATGCTCCTTTGCCCATCCTTCTTTTCTGCTGCCACAGGCTCTGAAATGACTTTTCTGTTTCCTTTCTTAGCCCCTTCATCTGCTCTTATTTTAAACCCTGTTTACCTTGCCCTCATTTCTCCTTTCAGTTCTTTCTACTCAAAATACAAACATGAACCATAGCCTTCTAGCGTGAAGTACTTCATCTCGTTCCATGAATTGTCAGGTTTCCAAATGTTTGGCTATTTGGAATTAAAAATGGTTATTGGGTAAGGTACAAAAAAAGGCGCTGAAGCAGGAGGTGGAATGCAGCACTTCCAGTGCCCATGTGAGTGCTTTCACAACTGGAGAGTTTTTCTTCTTGCACTGGTATATTTTGCCCTACATTTCTTCTCACCATGCCATGCCACAGCTACAGCAGGACGGCTGGCAAGCACTCGCCCCTGCAACCTGCTCCAGCACAGGTTTCACAAAAGCCTGTCTGGACCCCGCAGAAGATTAGATTCGACACCACCCAGTTTGTACATCTAGGTAAGATGTCAGTGTGAGACAGGCGCCAAATCTCTCCCCTTAATAAGTAGGAGGTAATTAGTACAATTTTGGGAGATTAGTACAATAGGGAGATTGCTGGTGAAATACTAAAGCCTGTGTCTCATCCAGCGTGGGAGATGATACTAAAGACTTGGAAGATTGCACTTTTTCATTTATTAAACTGGCCAGACAAATGCAAACAGTAACGTTGTTTTGGGCCAGGTGAGTACTACTTCTCTGCTATACAGAGTAAAACACATTCCTTTTAACTAATCTTCAGCAGTCTTCTGGGCCAACAGTGCTGGAATTCAGTTTTGCCCCACAGCCCTTTTATGAACCTGAACAGGCAACTATTCAACTATGTAGGCAAACTAGGGCAAGAAAACTGCTATTTTTGCCTTGCTTTTTGTCAGCTCTACTCATCTTATTTTCTTATAACATGGCAGTTACTATACTTCTCCGGTTAAAAGCCCACCTCATCCACTACCATTTCGTTCAGCACCAAGTGCCTCAGAAAAACATGAGGAAAATCCCATAGTAGAATAAGATAGATCAGGGTAAAAGTGTTCATCACTCTCTCCATTTAGAGGTATCCTCAGATACAAATGTTGGTATCCATTATACTGCATCCTACTTACAGTAACCGTAGACATTCTTGCTATCTAATCAAAAAATGCCCAAATGTTTTTGAAACTATTATAGATTTCTGGGTTCAAGGATATCTTGTAGAAGTGATCTGCAGAATTCAAACATGCATTATGTATATTTTTCCCGTTAGAAGTTAACTGTTATGTCTATCTTTTTAAGGGCCAACAGATCTATAGTAGTTTTCAGCATACTCATCACTTCTTTAAAAGAAGCAATCCTAATATGTATTCTCTCTTCATGAAGTAATTTTCCCATGCCTATCCATGTTTATCAAATATCCATGTCCTTCCATTCTTTCTGCTCCATCCTTTTTGAGACAGAACACTGTGCTCACTTCTAGTCACCCACCCAGTGCATACCATCGTTGGCTGCAATGGCATTAACACATTAATTCTGATCCAGTTTTCTGTAGAGCAGCAAGGCAAAATCAGGTCTAGGGGGCCAGGATTAAAACATTAATTTTCTGTGTTGGTAGCATTTTTTGTCTATTTGGCACTGACTCATTGTAGATATTCATCATTGACTCTTTGTCGAAATTGAAACTGCACAGATGTGAGGCAGCAAGACACAAGTTCCACTGACTTTATGGCCAGAAAAAAAGAAAAAAGCTCATCTAACCTCATCCTTTGTACAGTGTGAGCCAACAACATTGCCCATGGACTTTTCCATCTAATCCACATCATGTGAATGATTTCATTAGAGCATATGTCCTTGTGGCAAAACATCCAGTCTCTACCTAAAAACTCCCAGATGAAGATGAGTCAAATGATGGATGGCTATATTTCTATCTTATATTCAGTTTGAACTTAGACCACATCAAATTGCAGAGCTTTTATCTTGTAACACTTTTGCCTGCTAATTTAAGAAGCCTTGTAATTACCATTCTTCACCTTTAACTTCATTTTAATGGAGTTTTTGGTCTGAGAGTTAGATACACCAGTCATTACAACCAGCCTAATTAGAATCAAAGAAATGGGGTAGAGGAGAAGCAGGGGCTCTAGGAAGACTAAGCTACAGCAGGTTACTCAGGGCCTAGAGCAGTTGGGTCTTGATTGTCTCCAGGGATGAATACTCCCCAACCTCTCTGAGCACCTGTACCAGCATTTGACCACACTCACAGTAGAAAAAGTTTTTTATGATGTTTAAATGAAAATTCCTGTTTTTTCAGTGTGTGCCTCCCTTCCTTTCATTGGGCACCACTGAGAAGAATCTAGCTCCATCCTCTTTACTCTCTCCCATCACATATTTATGCACATGAATAATGTCCCTCCCAATCTCTTCCATCTCAAGGCTAAATAATCAGCCTTTGCTTGTATCATAAAGGCTCCAATCCTTTTCAGCACCTTTACGGCCCTTCACTGGATTTTCTTCAGTACTCTCTTGTATCAGGGAGCCCACACCTGGACACAACAGTCCAGGTGTGCTTTCACCAGGGCCAAGTTGAAAGGAAGGATCACCTCCATTGGCCCAGGATACTGCTGGCTCACGGTCCACTTGGTGTCCACTACAATCCCCAGTGCCTTTACTGAGAAGTTGCTTTCCAGCCAAATCCCCCTCAGCCTCTTTGGGTGGTTGCCTGGGGTTTCTTTCTCCCCAAGGGCAGGACTTGGTATTTCCTTTTGCTCAGCTTCAGGAGATTCCTGTTGGCTCACATGTTCAGTTTCTTGACATCCCACTGAATGGCAGCACAATCATCTGGTGTACCAACCCCTCCTCTTCTTTGAGGATCGGATCGTCTGCAAACTTGCTGAGGGTATGCTCTGTCCAGGTCACTAATAAAGACGTTAAACAGTATTGATCCTAGCATGAACCCTTGAGGTACAGCACTAGTGACTGGCTGCCACAATCCTTTCAGCCTGGCAGTTCAGACAGTTTTCAATCCACCTCGCTGGCCACTTAGTCCCTAGTTCATCAGTTTGACTGTGAGGACGTTAATGGGAGACAGTGTTGAAATTTTTGCTTAAGTCAAGAAAAATAACTCTCTCCCTTCATCTACCAGGCCAGTCATCTCACTGAGGAAAGCTATCAGGTTGGTCAGACAGGATTTCCTCTTCATAAATCAACATTAACTGCTTCTAATCACCTTCTTGCTCTTAACATGTTTGTAAATGGTTCCCAGGAGGATTTGCTGTATTTGTCCTCCCAGGAGGACCAGGCAGTATTTCCTCAGACCCTCCTTCTCACCTCTCTTAAACACAGCTGTGACATTTCCTTTCTCCTAGTCCTCAGGAACCTCTCCCAACCAACACCACCTTCCAAAGGTAACTGTGAGTGGCCTCGCAATGGCATCAGCTCCCTCAGTCCTCAGGGATTCACCTCATCAGGTTGCATGAACTTGTTGTATTCAATTGCTTAAAGGGTCTTAGGGGTCTGGGATTTCTGAAGGGAGGTTTTACCAGTAAAGACTAAGTTGAAGAAGGCATTGAGTACGTCAGCCTTCTCCATCTTCTTTATCACCTGAAAAAGGAAATTTTTTGTCTTCAAGCACCATCCCAATCTGCAGACTTGGTCTGTAAATACCTGCCAGGGACCAGGTGCTTCAGTGTCTGACCAGTCAGATCTCCCTCTGTCAGAAGTTAGGTCCTGATTTCATGCCACCACAGCTGCAGAACAGTTTCATGCTCTGAAGAACAAGAGGAAGGGATTCCAAAATGGGACTATACCACAACATCTGGCTGTGCTTGCTTACGAAATTATTTCTCTTTCTCTCCTTTCAGACAACTCAACACCTTTGGATTTATGATGCCATGCCTAATGATCTCAGGGCAGGGAGCTCCTTCAGCTTTGTCTGTATACAAATATATATGTATGCTGCTTGGCAAGTAATCATAAATTCTGTATTCTCTAGAGTAATCTGAGAAGCTCTCTCCCCCTTGCCAAACAGCTAGTAGTTTTCTCTCCTCATGTCAAGGTGATATTTTCACATTGTCACTGAGTGTTAAATCTTACTTATATTTGCTTAAATTAAATATGTTTAAGGTTAACTTTTTTTTTTTTTTTAAAGTGGCTTATTTAATTTATTTGAACAGATTTGGTTTATTTTGGGTCACTAAAACCTAATTAAGTTTCTGTTATCTCCAGAGTGCAATCTCCCATGGGTTCTTTCTGTTAATACTCCTGCTTCATGCCTCTCTCTGCTTGAGTGTTACTTGTAACAGTAGGAAAGGAGAAATTTCAGATGAAACTGTGCTTGAGAAGAGAAGAGCTTGGTGGGTTGGTTTTTTCTTAAAGAAGGAATATATCCTTTGAAAGTATAAAGATATCAATGAAGGAGAAAGAAATGTTTGATGAACTATTAAAATATATTTTTAACATACTTAAAATCCAGTTAAATATATTTTAAATGAATTTTCTCTTATTTTTTGAAACACTTCCCCTTGCAAAATCTTTTTGGTTCAACCTATTCTGTAAAGTTATTCAGAAATTGTCAAGTACTGCACATGGCAAGCAGAGCTCACTTTCCAGAATTTTGTACTTGAAAGTCAGAAAGGAACACTTGGTTTACCTTTCAATATTTTGAGATACAAAAGAAATAGCTGCAAAAATAAAACCATCTACAGGATTTCTTAAGGCTTTTAAACCTTTCAGCTCATCACACTGAGGACAAATCCAGATGCAGCCACACAGAACAGACGATTTCAGTTCACTCAAAATCAAAAGAAAGAAGATTCAAAAACATCAACATCAGTCACCAGTGTCAATCAGGCCAGCACATCTCGACTAGAAGGATTGCAGTCAGAGAACCACCGCTTGAGAATGAAAATTACAGAGGTATTGTTTATTGTGTATACTGCCTGGGCAATTTTTTAAATTATTTTTATGCAACTCTGTAATCTGCTTAAATGTTGACTACTTTTTAGATGAAAAATTTAGCTTTCACCATAGCAAAATACTGAAATAATCGGACACAGGTTATTTATAAGAATAGCTAATTAATACAGTGAGTACTTAGCAGGTGTGATAAAATGAAAATGTGCCTTAGCAAATTAAAATGAAACTTCCCCTATTTATTTGAACAGGCAAATTGCCCTGCTGCTTTACATGGACGTGCTGAGCACCGCAGAGCAGTAGCTCTAGAAGCGCAACCTTTACATGCAAGCGTAACAGAGACCCGCAGCCCCAGGGGCACTTAAGAGCTATCTTTGTTCCTGTTCGTAGCTGAGTTCAGAGACTGCTGGTGCTGTCATTTCTCAGTCTCTCTGAGGACTTGCTCAGCTAGACAGATCTTTACATCTTCCATGAAACAGAATTACATATCTTCTTTAGGTAGAAAAGACCTTTATGGTCATGTAGGCTGACTTTTTTGGCACAAAGGTCATGAAGTTTCTTCAGTCTCTACCGAGAGAAAGGCTAAGTACATGGAGCGCATGAATGCCATTAGAGCTATAACATGTATAATTTTAATTATGTCCATCCTTGCTCAGGAGACCTCAAACAATGACAAATCAGCCATGAAGACTGCCCATTTTGTGAGACAAGATAACCATAACTGATCTATATCTTACAAACAATTAACTTGTTCTTGCCTAGTCTATGAAGTATTCTTAGACCTTGAAGAAAAGGTATTTTATTGCAACAATTACTTCTTCCAGATCTTAATTAACAACAATTGCCTAGGTAACCAAAAGCTGTTTACTCAGCCTACCAAAGACTCCAGAAACAAAAATTATCTCTACTTTGTTAAAGAAATTTAGTTCAGCTTTGCCTGGTCCCTTTCATGTAAGAGCCTTGAAATTTTTAATGAAGGCTCAGCTGGCTGCTGGCTATTTCAGTTTCTTTATCCTACTGTAGTTTTTTTCTACTAAGCCTCCCAACTCACAAAACCTCAGCCTGTGCCTCGCAAGGCTCATGACGGCGATCACGGGTAAGGTTGGTCAGGGCAGTTGAGCCATAGCAGTGCACGCAGGGCCCTGCTGATCTTTTTAGACTTTGCTTAAATATATCAAATTAAATTCCCAGAACCAGTAGGTCCAAGCGAGGGTTTCATCATCAAGGGGATTTGGAGCATGCCCTACGGTGGCTAGCAGCTACATCTCTCGCTTATGTACCTTGAGTTGCTCTGTCCCAGTTCTATAAGGAAACAATGTAAATCTAAATTCAGCACTTTTAAAATTCAGTTAAGACAGTAGTTAGTGGGGTGTACACTGGACACCGCATCCTGGAAAGCTGTTCACAGACAGCATCCCAGATCACCATTAAGATGCTTGTATCTGGTTATTTTCTACTGGGGCTGTAGCCAGTTGGATACAAATTAGCCTCTGGGGAGAGCACCCTGTGTTCAGCTCAGTGCTAAAAGTGAGGGGTGTACCAACCCCACATCTGTGCTGTGGCCCTTCCAGTCAGAAAACATCTGTGCTTCTCCCCCTCTCCCTCTCCCTCTAGTCTTAAAGGATGCCTTTGGGCAGAGAGAGGACTGGGATATTTGTTTCTTCCCCCTCCTCTTATTTCCATTTTTTACCCTCTTGGAAAGTTATGCCTGCAACAGCAGTTTAGTGCTAGCTATCAGATTACAGAGTTTAAGGCACAAAAGATAGAAAACACAGGGGTAATTTTCAAATCACAAAAGTATAGAGTGTGCTCAGCCCCAAAACTAAAAACTGAGTTGGATTTTCTTCAAAACACACGGAGATACAAACAAAAAGTCTAACAGGAGTCTGTCTCTCTAAGAAAGGTAAAAGGAGTAAAAATAATCTTCAGGAAAACAAACATTCCTAGAAGAGGTGCCTGCAGTCACTCACATAGCTGGACATGTCCTGAAGCCATAGTTCACTTATATTCTCTTCTACGTTTGATAATTTGATTGACTCAACAAAGTGGATATAGCTATGTATGCCACATTTGTACGCATAAATAATAAATAGTTGAGAGGTTTTCAGACTGGGCTTTCTAACGCCCATTTCTTTCTTATTCAGCAATACATCTGAATTGCTTAAACTGTCAACTACTAAAGCTTATTCTTCTCATATACCCTGTGCACAATATCACAGCTGAACGTGGTTTGTTACTTGTAGCATGATTTTTAGAGGTAGTATTGCAGTACTATAAGAAAACTGCATTTGGCTCAGTGTGGCAATTGCATTGCCACCTGCCTTCTAGTCTAATTATAGAAAGCTATGCAGTTACTGCAGATACCTGAAGCAATGACTCTTGAATTTTTAGGGATTCATACTCTTTCTGTTTTGCAGCTGGACAAAGACTTGGAAGAGGTCACAATGCAGCTTCAGGACACTCCTGAGAAAACAACATACATTAAGCAGAACCACTATCAGGATCTTAACGACATTCTTAGTATACGGAACTTTACAGACAGCAAAGGTGAGAGCAAAATCCATCAGTAGCTTAACCCACTAAGATTTTGAATAGTTGGATTGGTTCCAGAGCGCTTGGACCTTGGTAAGATAGAGCTTTACATACTTTGGTTGCATTTCAGAAAGCACACAGATCACGTAATAAGCTGTATGGTACCCACTGAGTAGTTGTTTCTCTGTACATGTGTCTTCTATTGTATGCCCTTTGTGTATAATACACACGGTAAAGTGAGAAACTTTTGAAAGTGTACTTGTGTTCAGAAGTCAAGTTTTCTGTGCTGCATGGAGGAAGGAAGGTCACAGAGTGTTTCAGATCTTGTGAGAGTAAATCAAGCCAGCCTTCAGCAGTAGGAAGCTCAGTTTAATATGTGCTCGTCTGAGCAGGACGTTCAAATCCTGCTTTTGGACACTGCTATCAAGCACGTAGAAGAGAAGCATGTAAATATTTCAGTGCAGATTTGGACTCCAAATGTAGAATTGAAGGCACTCATGTATGAAAATTCTTCCCTAGGAACTGATAAAAAAGGATTTCATGACTACTGTAATATTCCTAAGTTGTTTCTACTGTGTCTCTTGCATCGCTCCCTGAAGAAATATCTGCGAAAGAATTGCTTCCATTAAAGCTATTTCACTTTTGGGAAGCAATAAGATCTGGTGCATAGTGCAATAAAGTGAGAGCCAGGACACCCAGCTTCCATTTCTGACTCTGGAATGGATCTACTTTGTGACTTCTGGCAAATGACTTTGTACAGCTGAATATTACTACAGTACATGGAAAACTAGTTGCCCCATGTTGGGAAGTCGTAGACTTGCGTGTTTGTTGCAATGCTAGGGTCAGGCTTCCTATTGATGTGGCAGCATAAGATTGGTTAAGTGGAACAGAAGCTACTCCTGTAAATATAGTTGTTGAAGAACAATTTTAGAACAACAGCAACATATATGCTATTGAAGTATATTGAAATTTTGGTTGGATAAAGTTACTTTTGCATGCGCCTTTTGTTTTAGCCTGGGTAGACACTCAGTTATGTAACTTGTGGGGAAAAAAAAAAAAAAAAAAAAAAGAAGAGCTCCATAGAGTTCCCAGTGTCCTTTTTAAAATTAAAAAACAGAAGGGGGGGAAAGGAGGAAAAGGAAAACGTAAATAGCTGCTGGAGGCGTGTGATTATTGGGCTGAGATCAGCAGCAAGAACTAACATCAGTGAGTGGGATGAGGCAGTTTTACCAAGTGTTTGAAAGGAACACATACAATGTTCCACTCATGTCAGATGCTGCAGCAAAAATGATAAATCATGAATAATATCTCAAGCAAAAAAAGATACATTACCTTGTGCCAAATGCCCATCTGAGTTTGGGTATGAGAAATAAAAATGATTCTCAAGAGATACGCTGGGTATAAATTTAGGACAGGATGCTTCCCACAGCAGGTTGCACTCCATTAGCAGTAGGATGCTGGCAAAGAAATCGAGGAGAAAAATATAACCTTTCTGCACTTACTTGTGGCTATAGCTACAAAAGACATCAATGCCTAACTGCTGCTTTACGCAGCAGCGTCCAAGATTGTCTGTATTCCTAAGTTTCCCCCAGTACAGTTCCCTAACTGCTACATTTCTGCTGCGGGGTACATATTTAAAATCACCTATATGTACAGAGCCTTAATGTACAGAGTAGCTTGGAACTATGAACTGTTGGGATTTACAGGGTAGACATTCTTCTGAAGTTGCTGGACACAGTTTTCTGAATGGACTTACCACATAAAGCTCCGCACGAAACAGAGGGGAAGGAAAAGAAGGATGTTTTCCTTTGGCCATCTTTATATTGAATATGTTAGAGCATCCATTCACCCGGGAATGAGGAAGACCTGGATCCCAATTTGCAACAGGAATTGGAAACTTGGTCCCACACCTGGTGGCGAATGCCCCAAACATGAGTATTACGGAGCATCCTGATCCTGACTTGAGGGACATCAAATATTCATACTTCCAGGCTCTGAGCCACCATGTTCAACAACCCTTGCTAGCCTTTTTCTGTCCTTCCATTTCCATGTCTTCTGCCTCTTGTCTCTTTCCCCATTTCCCTGTCCCGCAGCTACATGTCTGAATCTCCTCTGTATTTCTCTCACTGCATCCATTCCCAATAGTCAAGCTATGTGCTTAATTTAAATTTGCCATTCCAATCAAAATAACAAGGCTTTGGAGAATTCATGCTGCTGAGTCACTGCTGCTTCTGTGCAGATGCAAACAGACATCACTTAAATGGTACTTTAAAAAATTCTGACCCTTACGGCTGTAGGAAAGCTAACTCTGACAGACATAACTATGCTTTCTGTAGCTACGTATTTCATGTAACTTTCTGTAAATGAAAGTACAAAATCCTGAAATTATGCGTCCCTGATGGTACTTGAGCGAAGCTTCGGAATTGTAAATAATTTATTATCATGACCTAGACATGACCATGTGTCTCACCTCCACCGTGCAACTGGGGAAGCCAGCCCGATGTTGTTGTTAAGGGGATGACAAGGTTTGTGCCTACCTTGGACCTTGTAAAAAATGTGAGCTGAGAGAGAGGGAGTAGAACAGTGAAGAGAGATGCTAAAAATAGCAGCTGACTTGGAGCTAAAAATCATAGCAGATCATTTGCCACATTTGCACTGTGGACACAGCTGAATCCTATGTCAATCTTCTTTATAAAATACCTTGCTGTTCTGATGGAGTTTACATAGAGAATGCAATGTAGCGTATCCCCCTTGCTATTGCTTACAAAATTCAGGACACTGCACTTCAGAGAACAGATAATAACACGGGACTTATGCATCTCAAACAAATCCTAATCAAACTTTAATGTCATAGTACACTTCAGTAGGTTTCTGATCTGCAAAAATTGTCCAGAGTTAAAATTCCTAACTCCTATAGCCAAGTGCCACAGGAGGTTATTTGATTCTTCCATTCCTTCCCCACCACCATCATTTACATCAAATATGGATTTAGGAGACAGAAGTTAAATTACTTCAGCCAAGATAGATAGACACAGCTGTGCACTCCCATAACTGCCTAACCTCAGGCAAAGTTTCATAACTTTGGGGTTCCTGCTTAGTTATTAACAGCAACAGCTCCTGGTGTAGCCCAGGAGCTCTTTGCTGGCACGGGGACTCCTTCTTTACAGTGCATTTCAGTTCGGCACATCTCATTTAAAGAGAGATAATTTCTGAGACACTCATCTCTTGTTCACAAACGCATAATGTCCCTGAGACATCTGCAGCAATTGGCTATGTAAGAAAAGCAATTAGGAAAATGCGATTTGTAGTTTATGGTTTGATTGCTTTTTTTTTAATGCAGGCTTTTGTCCGCGCTGCTAGATAACTTGGTGTGGTCAAGCAGTTCTCAACATGCTCCATGGACCGTGGCTCTGGGACCTCAAACGGCTTCCCCAGTTGAATTTAAAAACACATCCCCTTAACTTCATTTGCTGCATTCCTCAGATGATTTTGAGTCACCGTGTCTGCTAGCGACCTCGGCTCTGCGCACAGCGCGACGTTAGCTTCTCCCCCAGTTTGCCGTTTGTGGGATCTGGCCGCCTTGCTGGAGCTGCAGAGCCACGTTACAGCCTGGCTCTGGGGCACGGACGGGCTGTGGGTGAGACCCACGCTTGGCTCGGGCCGTTCCTGTAACTAGCAGTGCCGTTCAGCAAGGAGAGCCAAGCTTGCAGACATGGCTGAGTTTTCCAGGCTGACATTTGGAAAAAAGGAGGACAAACGCTCGTAACTGTGAGGCTGTGTAAAGAGGAAGGTTGTGCCGCACAGCTCCAGGGAAGAAATACCCTGGCACGGGCACAAACCAGAGCTTCCCAAAAGGGCTCCCTCCACCCGTGTAGCGCGTGTGCCAGAAACAGGAGAGACTTCGCGAAGGTAGAAGTTATTTCTACCCTGCAAGTTCCTGCAGGAATAAAGTTACAGAGGAGAAAAATACAGAGGGAAGATGCTATGTGGTTGGGGGGGAGGGGGGTGCGTGTGTTGGATAATTTTGCTACCCTTGGAATCTTACAGTCTTAGTCTATTTGACTTCTATTTGACATTTTATTACATGAAATTATTTCTACATGAATGATTCATAGATTGCAAGAGTTTCATATAAAGCCGAGCTCAGAAGAAATCCTGCAGAACAATCTCCATTTATTTCTACCTTTGCCAGTGCATTTCAGAGTAGCATATTAGGAAAATTAATGAATGACGGCCATACTATGGAAAGTACATAAGAAGCAAAGGACAGCCTTGCAACAGTCCCCACGTATGAACAAACCCTTTTTGCAAGTTCTCTCTCTGCAGGCACCCTAGCTTGCTCAGAAAGGCTTTTCTGGTTTGAGCCAGAAAACAGACTTTACTCATTGCTGTAAATGGACTGGGAGCATTCATTTGCATGTCAGATATGCCTACATACCGTCAGTTGTCACCCCACTCCAATGTTTCCTAGTGTTAGTTTTTCCTCATGTAAAAGCAGCTCAAAGAAAAACACATTTCAAAGGCATGTTGCTTGTAAATGCAAAGCAAAACAGAGTTCATCTGTGACAGAGGGGGGAAAGATTACTTCTATGAAGTTGGTGTGGTTCAAGCCACAGATTGAATTGAGATTGAAACCACAGATTCAAAAGAAAGGCTTTCAGAAATAACTCCTTGAAATGAATGCTGTTCTAAAGAAAGGATATAGTTCATTATATCCCTTGTATATAGAGATATGTATACTAGTTTCTATGAAGCCTAGCAAATGGATTTCAATCCTGAAACTGGAGCTTATTTCTAGTTCAACAGGGAGACCAAACCACCAGAGGTTCGGGGCCTGTCCTTCCTTGAACAGAAATAAATCTATAGTAAAGGGAGTTTCTTCTGATTTAAAGTAATACAAAACACAGGAGACTCTTGCTGGCTTTTCTTTTCAAAAAAAATCTTCCTTTCAAAACATAACTATCAGAAGTCATGGTTTAGACTGCCTGGTACTGTGAGCTTAGTTTAGGAGAACTTTTTCTGATATCCAGCAGACAACGTGATCATTTTAATTTTTCCTTTCGTTTTCCTTTCTTTTCATCCTATGCACATGAAAAGCAGAAACTGGCTAGTTGTTTCACAGTCCAAACAACAGAACTGTGAAAAATTACAGTAGATTAAAAAAAATCTACCTTTAGCTTTAAAGATTCCAGAGTTCTTTAGTAAATCAGCAAGGTTATCTCTGCCAGCTCGAATAAGTCATTATTAAACCACACTTGCTTCTTTGTGGAGCATAAAATACGTTTTCTAGCAAAGAGAAAACAACAGTGGAATTGACAAATGTGGGGTGAAGAGCAGTTCTGCCATCTAGTTGTAAGCCATCGGAAGAATATTGCCACCAAAGCATAATGATGAAGATGTTCAATATAGCTGCAGCGCACAAGCGTCGACAAACCAAGCTTCTAGTCAAAGAAATACAGTTTCTAAAATCTTGGGAGAAATCGCAGCGGTGGCAGTCACCTGGTGTTTTCTGCCTGCGGCTGAACAGGAGTCATTAAAATGCACGACGTGTTTAAGCCAGCCCAGGTAATTTTGACAGCAGCAGGTTGCGGAGTGATTACACGTAGGGCAGGTCTGAAGCGAGCGTCACCCCTGGCAGAGGGAGAGGCGAGCAGCTGGGAGCAGTGACCTCCTCGCTGAGCCCCTCCGCAGCCGGCATCCGTGGGCTCTTGCAGCTCAGAGCTTCGTAATTGGAAGTCACTTCTCTGCCGCAGGTAGGCAAAGGTCCTGGGCTAAAGCCACCTGGCTCTCACCGACAACCGGGCAGCGGGTTTTGTTTTCTAATGAACCCATCAGTGAGTGCCATGCGAGGCCCTTGACAACTATCTGTCTTTTTTCCTGACGGTTTGAAAAACAAAAAGTACTCAGGCATCACTTATCCAGACTTCTGAGTTCCAGTTTGAGGTCTACAAAGGTGAAAATTACTTAGAAAGTGCTTCTGGCTAATGTAAATTCAATTTTGAAGGTAGTTAGATCATCCCAGTGCAACTTATTCAGTAGCATCTGCAGTGGCAGACAGTACCCTGAGAATGAAGGGCATTTTTCAAGTGGACAGAGGAATTTTTTCTTAATGGACAGAGGAAGAAAAGATGGGGAAGTACTAAAAGCAGTGCTACACTTTCCAGGGGGAACTGGGAACTCAAATATTTACTGTTACCCTTAATTTATTTTCTTTCAGTTGTTCACATATATAGAATCAGTTTCCTCCATCCTTATGTTTTTTAAGTGCTTATGGTAGTGTTTTTTCTTTAAGCTCCAGCTCCTGGAAGCGTATGACTAAGTGAGAATCTTGCTCTTCATTATTTAAATGAAAGGTAAATTAAAAAAAAAAAAAAAAGAAAAGAAAAAAGAAAGATATTCTAGTTTCCATAGCTGCAGAATAAAAATCTAACAAATCATCTCCCAAAAAGCTTAACAAATAAGAATTACCCAACTTTTTTGTATTTTGAAAGAAGAAAAAGAAAAAATGTCAACATTATTGCAGTTTTATGTGGATTTTGTGTGTATTTTTTTAGCCTGGTACATTAAAACTTGCATATGGTAACCTCGTATACAGAAATGTATGCAGAGTATTGAGGGAGAGTCATCTGCAAGAGTGGTAGAAAAGGGTCTATTAAGAATAACACACAGTGATAGATGGGCAGTTGGTGTTGAGGGGTGAGTAGGCAGAGAATATATGATTTCTGCTCTACTTTAAACTAAATCCCCCACCTTTTTGACAGGGACCACCTCCTTTTCTCTCTCTCTCTCAGCACAACCGAAAGCACAAGAAACCTCTTTAGGGGTGTACAACACAGATTAATATATACAATCACATACTCCCAAAGCCCGGCAGTTGCATATTCCAGTCATTTGATGAAGAATTATGGCTTTGTAAAAGGTTAAATTGCTTATCTTGGCCAAAGGAGTTGGTACCCTAAAATAGTTAAACAGTAGACCTTTTCCATCCCTAATTACAAGGATTACTCAAATTTTAACTTTGGCCTATATCATAAAGTCAGCAGTTTTCATTGTCAGCTTAGATCAGCTCGGGATTGAACATTGTTTTTAATCATGGAAGTAAAAAGTGTTCTTTTCTACGTGTCTGTTTATAGACATCACAAGGCTTTTATGCAAATGTCAAGCTCAATATACATAGAAATGCGATATATATGGAAAATAAAAACTGAACTCTTGTGACAGCAAATGCCACACCAGCAAACCAGAGGCTGCCCTGAGATGATAGACTTCATTGCTTATCTTAGCCACTGTCAGATTTGACTCTTTGCTGTCCTCCCTTCACATCTAAATCATCACTGAATCCCGTCATATCTTCCTTTTAAGCACTTTTCTTGCTGCAGCTGAATTTCTGAGCTCTCTCTCACTGACATTTTCTTGCCCCAGCAGAAGCAGCTTCATGTATTCTGGTTGCCTCCTTTCTCACCCAGAGACCCTTGTCTACCAGGCAACATAAGTGAAAAATCTTCTTTCCTGCTCTTCTGAGCTGTAGCGATCCCTGTGTCTGCGCATTTTTGCATCCTCACCTGTTCGCTTCTTTCTAACTTGCTTGTTAGATTTTTCTCAGCAGAAAGTGAATGCTACAAAATAATACCAGGGCTGACCGTGCTGGGAGGGCAATGATACATGTTGGAGTTTGTCCTCAAAGCATTCCTGTTTCTGCTTCCAGCTTCTATCCTCACTCTTTGTTTTTGCTGCTTGTTTTGTCCCACCAGTGCTCGTTGAGAACATATATATTTCTAGCGTGCTGGGACCTGAGCATTATTTGGGGCTTCTGAGTGTTAATAGAACAGAAAAGCAGCTTAAGCCTTCAATATGCACTGGGTTTTTCACGCTATTTTCATTTTCCCTTCAATATTTTCCTGCTTTTCCCCCTCATGCCCATTTTTACATTCAAATCCTCCAGTGTCCTTTTCCAGTTTTTACCTCCGAGTCCTCTTCCATGCTGCCTTAATGCCTACAGCAATCACTGTTTCTCTCTCTGTGTGGCAAACAACTGCTGGTGATGGATTTGGAGCTGCTCTGTAATTATTTATGAAAACTGTGCGCTGTCCTCATTACTCAGATGTTTTCCGTGTGACTTTATTTGGCTTAACACAGCAGGAGACTTTGGAAAAGCAGGCAGGAACAGAGAGGATCCCCGGCAAAGACAGCCTTCTTAAAATGGCTGTGTTTGTCTGCATTTCTCAGGGGGGACAGATGCCACAGGCTTCATTCAGCACAGCTAGCCAGGCACTCCCGGGACTCCTGGGGGAATCAAGTGAAGCTACCTACGGGGAAAATTATGATCTTCTGCATTATCACTATGCAGAAAAGTGCAGGAGAAAGCTTAATGAAATCATTAGCTGTCCTTCCTGCAGACAGCCCATGGACCAGTGCAACTGGTATGAATCATATTTCCGTGCTAAATGCTAGCAGATAGTTAAATGATGGCACTTAATTGCTTATGTGATTGCAAGAGTACCAAGACTTTATACATCAATGAGATTCTAGTTTTTCTAGGAAAAAACTTAATGTTTTCTTCATATGAAAAGGAAGCAATTTTTGAGTGCAAGATAATATGATGGTGCAATTACCTTAATTTTTTACACAGCCTAGGAATAGGTGAGAGAACATGATAGGGCTACATAGATGTGGGCAACAAGGTTTGGTTTGTGCTATTTTAAAGGTGGGAGGAAGCAAAGGAAGGTCAAAAGAGGTTTTGTCCCTTTTGTTTCTACATGGTAGTTCCTGTGAAGGAGCACATCATCAAAAGCATGAGCGTACCAAAGGCTCACAGGGAAACCTGGGCCTGTATTGGAATATAGGGAGAAAGAGTTTACTTTGTGGCGTTATGAACATCTGGGAAATTTTGAAGTGAAACAATTTCAAAATGGTCACTTAGTCCCAGTAAAGTAAAATTGAATGTGTTGTCCATCCAGATGGTGAGAAAGCCATTTTGAAAAATCATCTTGATCAAAATCCACCAGCACAATGGGGCTCATCAGACCCTTCCAGAACAAGCAAAGATCCTATAGAAGACATCAACTCTCCAGAACAGTAAGTATACACCATAACATACTGGTAGAGAAGGAGGCACCCTGCTCTCTCGGGTATGCATGTGCTTGTGCGCGCACGCTTTCTACTGTTTTAACCATAAATTCCATCCTGGATACCAGCTGCCTTGCTCATAAAACATTAATTTCAATGATCAACATTTCATCAAACCCCATATTTCTCTTTCATGCATTTTTATGGGAAGACATTTACTGTAAAGCCTTTCAGCCAGCCCCAGCTACAGGAAAGAGCCTGGACCATCAGCAAAAGAAGATGTGAATGGGCACCTCCTGAAGCACCAGTGGGCAGCAACGTTGTACTGTGATGCCTCCCTGCCACCAGCTCACCATCCCCATCTGATTTAGAGGCTGTCGGGGGCATTAGATCCTAAGGTGCCCCAAAGGCAAACTAACATACTTTTCTCTTGTCGGAAACATGCATAACATGATGTCTAAAGTTTCTGTAGAGAGTTACAGGACAAGCTGTGCCCAACTGCCCATGTCTATTAAGGAGAGAAGAGGATGTACATATGGGCACGCGTGTGTTATGACTGTTGTCAACAGTCCAAGTCCTTCCACACACCAGCCAGAGGGGTTCGTGATATACATAGCCATTTTGCTCCCTTTCAATCTTAAACTAGCTGAGAAATAAAAACAGTCTTAGGGGTTTTCAACGTTGCCATAGCAGCTGGACCTGAGTTTTGGCATAGGAAAGCCTGCACCAAATAGTTTCCCTTAGAAACAATGCTACGGCTACAAGGAGAGGATGGCACAAAGCACTTGCTAGATTCATGGAGTGGAAAGAGTCTTACGGTATCAGCTTTTCTCTCCAGGAACTTATACAATAAACTCACGTACTACCCTCTCCCAGCTCAGCAGGGCCTGCCATGGGCCAGAGCTCAGGGAAGCGCCGTGCTCATTTGTCCCTGGATCAGTCGTTTCCCCACAGCAGCCTAGTTACACGGGCACTACTTCATCAGGATCTGAGCTAATAGCTGCCAGCCTCCTGTTTTGTACATGGGCAACTTAGAAGCTTATTTAAAACCAGAATAAATTAAAGAAATTACTAGACTGAGTCACATGTTACATCAGTGACAGCAAACCTGATTTCAGATAGCAGTTACTGCCTTGTACTACCCGGTGCAGGAAAACAAGTGGATTTCTAACTCTGTCCTCGCACTCAAAAAATCAACCCAACCCAAACCTGCACAGGAGCTAATTCACACACTCGCACACACATATGCACCAAAAATATCCCCAGTAGCTGAAATATCTGGCTGTTTCACAAAAGCAGGGCTCTGGCTGAGAAAGGTCTTGTGACTTTATGGGGTCAGCAGAGTGCTTTAATGCATAGCTATTAGAGGTCTATCTTTTTCCAGCACCATTTGTCAGAAATAATGATGTAGTGTAAATGCAACCTCGTCCGCACGTGGCCGTCTTTTACATTAAAAGAGATGTTAAGAAAAACACCGACACTCAGATAATCCAGTTCTCCCAATACAGATTTAATACAGGGAAAAAAAGAAAATAAAAGAAAAACATTTGGTGATGACAGAACCTCCTCTAGGCTAACAGTAACTGATGAGAAGACTGAGATTTCCTAAAGGTCATAAAGAACAGGTCAGTACCAATCTGAAGTCACTGACATTTATGGAGAGCAATTAATAAAGTCCTGCTAAATGAAAACAGTGTCATTCAGCACTTGCACAGCTGTGACTGTGCCAGGTCCAGGGGTCAGTGTCTCCCCTGAGGATGCATTGGTACTTTGGGTACCAGAGCCAAACCACCCAGGCACAGTGGACCTGCCTGAGAGGAGAAGTGTAGCAGTCTTCAGGACTAAGGTTTTGTGATTCCCCCTTCTCTTTGAGAAGAAATTGTCTCTTTTCAAACTTTGTGCTCTTTAAGAATATCCTTCTTCATGCATGTGCTTTTTTTCAACTTGTCTGGCAGCACTTCTGGCCTTCCATGGTTACTAAATATATCATTTTTGTCAAAAAAAAAAAAAAAAGAAAAAAGAGGTAAAGACAAGATGTAGTTTGTGCCTTCTCTTTCTCATTTCACTGCATACATAGCACATCTGATAGAGAGGTAGTCACATAGTCAGTTGAACCTATTTCTTATTCAAGAACAGAAATCTCAAGGACATTACTCTGAAAAATATTTCCTCTTTGCAACAAACCTATGAAAGGAGGACATTAAGATAATAATTTGCCTGCAGAAATGTTAACTCTGTATTGGCTATAGCAAAAAGCAGCATCCCAGCTTCCTGAGAGTCCACTCCCTGGAATCCAGAGCGCTGAAATCTTCCAGTATCAAAGTTCTTGTAGAGTGCAGAAAAGAGTTTGATTTGGGATTCTTTCATTCTTTCTTACCACTAGTGCTACATTTGACTAACTGCAGGTGTGATCCCTCGTCCTACAGTTGAGTCCAAAGTGAAGGCTCAGCAGTATGCATGCATTTCAGGCTCAGTAGCAGAGGCACTTGCTCCACATTTGTTTCTGGCGTGTTGTTTATAGCATCTCAATCGGCATGTGAAAAACATTTGGTTTGTGCTTGGCTCAGACTTAAAACCCTGCATCTAAAGAAAATGCAGTCTGTATGACTCTAGAGCAGCCTTAAAGCATGAGTGCAGATGATTCATGGTTCCCAATTCTCACTCCCTTTCCTCCTGGGCAGGACCTGGTAGGTCATCCATAGTGTCACGTAAAAATTGCCATACCCAGTCAGATCATCAGACACGAGAAGCAAAAAGAGAGTGCTGGCTGCTTTCTCTCCTGTTCACACTGGCTATACAGTGTAAATTAACACTTCCTACAGTAGACAAAGCAGTGCTGGTGCACAGGCTCAAGCCCTGCACTTTGATTTTCCATGGTGCTTATTAGCATACTCCCTAGCACAGTTGCCTCAGCTTTTTTTTTTTTATTTTTTTCCCCAGGCAGTGCTCAGGCACAGCCCTGTTTGGGGGAGCTTAGCTGCATGGGTGGAAGTTGCACCATGCCAGTTCATCTCAGGCCCAGAGAGCAGCCTGAACCAGTTTAGAATAGATATAATAGTTCATTTCTCAGTAGACCGGGGTGTCTTTCATGCAAAGTCAACTCCTTCCTCTCCCTTGGGTGTGTGACCTGCTGGGGAAGATTGGTGTACCCTATCTGGGCACGCTACTTCAGTACCGGTTTTATCAGTGCAGTGTGCCAAGATATTAATCGGGATACTATTTGTATTGCAACCTGATAGTGACCTGCTTACTTATCTAACGTTCACATCAGTCAGCTTATCTGCACGATGGCCACATGAATACATTCAAAGGGATATCTTCCGTGACCCTTAAAGACATTCTTCTGTGCACCTTCATTCCTGCATGTTGTGCCATCTCATCAGTGACCTACATTTGGTGAATTAGTTTTTGGCACCGTTAAAAATTATACTGTTCTCATTTTAACAGCAACAATATGTAATAGTCTTCCAGATCTCCGAGTAAAGGTGATGATAGATTTCTGCAGGACCCCACTAAAACCTGCCATTTTGTTAGACTATTTCCTATTATGTGGTCGGTTTTGTAATCTTCAAAGCAGCTAATTGCTGTGTAACCCTTATAATAGAAACCACCTTGAATTTTTTGAGCTAAAGCTCTGCTTTTAGCAGCATTTAAAAGACAGTCAAATACCCTGCTTCAGCTGGTTATGTCAAGTTTAGTAACCAAAAATTCTCATCAAAAAAGTTGGTTATGACTGAATTATTGCATTACAGCCATATGCCTTGGCATGAACATGCTTCTGTTATTCAGTTTCTTCACTGGAAGTGGTTCATTTTAGTCTATCTATGATCCTACTCAACTCTGTCATTAAAATAAGGTGGATTTAGAATGGTTAGTTTACTTGCTAGTGCAACATCTCACTTTATTGTAGTCTTTGAGAATTTCTCCAGCTTCCCAGCAGTTGCTAAAAATCAACATTAATGGGCTGAAGAATCGATTGAAATGATCCCTGAATGCTTAGACACAGTTTACATGCTCCCGCAGATCTTCAGATATTTGACTGTAGCAGCAGTTGTTCCAGTCCCCCCACTTACCAATGCATCTCATCAGTGGTTTTGTATAGCAGAACTGAATTATTTTTTAAATGCCTCTGCCCCCTTTGTAGCATCATGCATTCCCATGTGCGTTGCACTGTGTTCCTGCGTGCATTGACATTGGAAGTCAAGTTTTTACTTGTTTTTATTTATCCCTAAAAAAAGGGGTTTCTGTACAGAGCTGAGGGTACACGCCCTATTCTAACACAGGACCGTGAGAAGTAAGTGGCTGCTCTGTGTGTGGCACCACCTTTCCTTTCCATCCCCTTCAGCAGCTGTAGAAAACCACTAATACTAACCATTCCCTCCCTAACACACTTGACCGTGTGCTTTGCCATATCTATATTGTACGGACAACTCGAAAAATTGTATGCCACCATCCTGAAAAGCATTGACAAAATGCAGTGGGAGTGGAGGAGGGGGAAAAGCACTGATATTGGAGGGGAAAAGAACACATGGTGAGGCCAGGTACAAGATTTACTTTCATTTAAGGAGAAAATAGCAGTTTTGTTTGGATTTTGTTACTCGTTTTGTTTGGATTTTGTTACTCGTTTTGTTTTTCTCCTAAGAGTTTTGCCTAAACTCTTAATTGTGTGCTAGTCTCCACGCTACAGTCTTCTGTCCCAATTCCAGGAAGCAAGTTTTCAAGTGAAAGTAAACCTGAAGTACAGTTAAAGCAAAATTTGCCACCCACTGCAGCCACCGTTGGCATAGCCAAATAAACATGCTTTGTCCATGGTATGGCTAACACTTAAATGGGTGAAAAAAAATCCCATTCACTTGATTATGCAACTGGATTCCCTTGGAATAGCTTCAAAAAGCTCTTTAATGAGAAGTTTGTAACAGTTGAACAAAGTAAGCATTTCCACTGGTGGGAAAATAAGCACAGGCAATTCTGCGTTTGACCCTGCAACGAGAGACAGAATGACAATCCGCAGCATCAGGCTCATAAGGATTCAGCACATGGAAGCAGCGAGCCATGCCACCTCTGCACTCCTTGGGAACAAGACATGATTTCATTGATACCACCAGAAAGAGTCAGGCACAGTAGCAAAATAACAATGAATGGATTTTGTTCAATCCCAGAGATGCATTGCCAGCGCTACAATGATCAACACTGTGCATTAATATTGCATCAAACTTTTAGAGGGAGTTTGTAGGGGGAAAAAAAAAGGAGAAAGAGCTTCCTGGCTAGGCAGACTCCAACTATTTTCACCGCATCTCTGTATAAACAAACCTGAGTTTGTAGCAAAGAAACGAAAGAGAAGCAGCATTAAATTTCTTTCTCTTTGAATTTGAAAGCTATACTGCTTGGTCCCCGAGCAGTGCAATGGATGTCTTGGTAGCTGTCTCCACTTCCTAACACAAAGCAAAAAAAGAAATGAAGTGTCATTTGAATCAGAAAGACTGTCCAAAGGCAAGCTTTCAAAAATATACTTCTTATAAGGGCCTGTCTATACACAGTCATACTATCAGGTAACAGGGAAATAAAAATTTAAAACTCTATTGTACTGATACAATGCTTTGTACGGGCATTTTTCTTCTGGAATCAAAAGGCCAATCTTTGTTTCAGCTCTGCCACTTTGACATCTGTCTTCTCTTTAAAAAGTTCCTCTGTATTTCAAGATTGAATGTCTCCAATTGCAGAAGCCATCCTGGTATGATAATGCCTTAATCACTGGAAACATCTCTTACACTAGCAGACCTTAACTGGATTTTGATTTTGTGAAAGGTGCTAGTATATCCACAGCATGGGGGTAGCAGAGCCCTTGTCTCAGGGCACCATCCTCTCCATGGAGAGGGGTTAGCTAGTATATCTGTGAGCACGGTTTAGTATCCCTTTTAAAAAACAAACAAAACCAAAGCCCTACCAATATCGTGATGTCAATCTGCTTGGAAAATCGGATTCAGAATGCTGGGTTCCTAAATACTTGATTTTGGTGTGGTTGGTGGGTTAGACTGCTTTTAGTGTGCCAACTCCTCAGTCCCACAGCACTGACTGCTGGAACTCGAGAGCATCCAGCACAGACCTAAACTGCAAAGAGGAACTACTTGGAAGAAGCCGTCAGTCCAGACTCCCTCCCTCCATTCACCCCTGCTTGCCTTAGGTGGAGTTGCAAAAATGCCATCCTTAGTTCTAACATCCTTGTGCTAAGTGATGCATGGCTTAAAACTCAGCCTGTGACATCGTGCATGTCGATGCAGTTAGCCAGGGCTCTGCATGCAATAGATCACTTTGCAAGGGGCGGGGGGTTGCTAAGCCATATGCCCTCATTGCAAACCTAAGGTTTTCCCTTTTTCTGATATCAGTAGTCTAACAATTAACCTGAAAGTGCCTGGGAATTTCAGAAGGCTGTGGGACGCTGAGAACGCACCCTTAGATTATTGTCATGTCTAGCGGGTCAGAAAAATTCCCCAAGGGGAAATAACAGTGGGGTGGCATAGCTCAACAGCAGCGAGTGCGATGCTCTTGGCATTAACCCTTTTTATCGCAGCAACAGGCGCAGAAAATATCCTTGCAGCAACCTGCAAATATATCAAGTACGTAATGTATTACATTTTCCTCTCGGCTAATGCTCCTCTCTCTCCGTCTCTCTCGCAGCATACAGCGTCGGCTGTCTTTGCAGCTGCCCATCCTTCATCATGCCTACTTGCCATCCATAGGAGGGGTTGACGCTAGCTGTGCCAGTCCGTGCGTAAGCCCCAGTGCCAGTCCTCGGCACAGACACGTGCCGCCCTCCTTCCGAGTAATGGTTTCAGGGCTGTAGGAAAGGGAGATCAGCGCTTCCTGAACTGCTTTTAAGTACTCAATGACTGGACTAAACATCTGACCTAGAACTCTGCTACAAACATATAACATTGGCTCTTACCGCAGAGGAACTACCGCTGAGGCCGTCATCACAGGAGTGCCCGCGTAACTCGTGTGGGAAGGCAAAGGAGAAGGACACAGGGAGTTTGATCTGTAGCCTTATTCATGGAGTTTTTATTTCTTCACGTAGAAGTCACTGAAAAACGTTTCTTCCCAAATTTCTACTCGCAACAAGGAGGCCGGGAAATACGGATCTTGCAAAAAAGACACTAGGAAAAAAAAAACCAACACTCAAATGTCACTGAGCTTTATGTGGCTGCTGAGAACATGCAATTCTATACTGTATCCATGTAAGGAAAATACAATGGTTGAGCTATACCATATTTATTGAAATAGATACACTCATTTTTACAAGAGTTGTGTTAAATTGCTGGAAACATTCTGCACTGGTTAGTCTTGCTTGTTTTCATTTCAGGGACGATGTTCGATAGGAAAGGAGGACTATGAGAAATGATTCCTCGGGTGTCATTGAGACTCTGCAGTGCTGTGAGCAGGGTCACCTCTGACTTGCAGCTGCACATGAAACCCCAGCAGAGGCTGAAGCTCCAGCTCCGAGTTGTCACCAGCTGGAGAGCTGCTGGTTGGAAGCGGAGCACTTCACCCACCCTTCTCCAGGGACGATGGTAGTGACTGCTGACCATCTGCAGCTTCATTTTTAGCAAAGTTTCTGCACCTATTTCAGAATAAACACCACCAACCATAATGTACTAAACTGTCCGGAAAAGTCCTAGGGCTCATAAGAAGCTGAGGACAGATGGGTAGTAATGTCTTAATGTCACAGGACGGATTGTTTTTCATAGTTTGTATGAATTATGTCACACATAATTACAATAAAATTAATTTAGTGGAATTGGGGCGGGGGGGTGTTAGGGCACAGCACTTTGCTGCTGCAGGCAAAGCCTGCAGAGCACATAGATGTGAATATACACTATGTTTGCTTTGTACCTGCGTGTGTGACAGTTGTAGTGGATAAGAGAGAGGACAAATCAAATTTACCAAGAGAATCTTTTATCTGAATCCTAAAAGGACTGTGGGGGAAAAAAAAAAAAAAAAAAAAAAGGTCTTATACTTTAGCTCCATCCCCTGAACCAAAGTAATTAGGAGGAACGATAGTGGCATACTGTCTGGACCAGCTCTGGAGCCAAACCCTCAGGCACAGGTGAGACACACATGCAGCTTCTTTCTCCAAGGGACTGGAAATGTGGCATCTCACTGCCAGGGCTGTTTGCTAAGAGTAGGGGGGAAAAAACACATGAAGCACCCACTGGGCTCTCAGTTTTCTTTGACCAATGCCTGTGCACCTCAGACCAAACCTTTGGGATGACGTTTCAGCAATGACTGAAGCACAGCTAAAGAGGTTCATTAGCTGGGGGACTTAACCGCAGCTTTGATGAGCTAGCATAAATCTCCATTAAAAATGAAACACACTTCATAGTGGCCAAAACCAACATGAATATGTATCTGAATCTTACAATCAGGAGCATCACAAAATATTTCACTTGGCACATACAGTAAGAGAGGTTATGGAAATATCTGTAGCTTTTAGAACAAAAACATGTAAGTATGAACACAGATAAAATAGAAGTCATTATTCTGTTTAAGCACTAAACACTGACGTTGTCACTCAATGTGTGTTGACAGTATTCTCTTGCTTTATTAATATCATCAGGGCCTGGTTTATTTTAAAAGGAATGTTAATTTTTAAAAAGCGAAAATTACAATATTGTATATAATGTATACACAAAGATCTCTGTAGAAATATTATTCCAATTTAGCAGGAAAAAAACAATTCAGAAGTATCGGACCATTGGAGGTGAGTGTGTGTGTGTGTCTGTAACTTCGTGAATACTGACTGTGTGATGTTTATTAGGTTTAAACCATGCAGTACATTCTTTGTCTCAATGATACTGTAGTTTCTCCCATAACATTTTTTTTTTTTTACTTTACTGCAGATAACAAGACCAACCAAGTGAATATAGCTATTTAATGTTTCTGTTCTTTTATACTGCAGCAAAAATGTACTGTAAATTTATGAAGAGGCTGTGCCCCAATGGCATTTTCCAATGATGTTAGTGCACAAATGCTTTAAACTAGACTGGAACTGCCAGAATAAAATGTAAATGAAGAATTTCTTGTATAACCTTATACTGCATGAGATCAATTTTTAATAAATTGTTGCAAATCTGTTTTTATGAATAAAATATATAAAACCTAGCTTTTGGGACTCAGTGCCCTCTTCCCCCACAGAAAAGCCATTTTTAATGTGTGTGTGTGTGTGTGTGCATGTGTGTATGTGTATATATAAAAGCCTCCCTGGAGAAGGAGAAATCCTATTACAACACCACATTGTAATAAAAACTCAAAGTACACACCCTAGTAGGGCTCACATCTAGAGAAAATAGATAGATGAGTTTCTGCCCTGAAATACAATTACTGCACTACTCATGAGTGATGTCTAAGCACTTTTTCAAACATATGCTGAAAATTTACATCCAAACCACGCTTAATACATGCATTATTCTCTCTTGCACCACAGTAAGTATGAATTCAGGAGACAAACATTTTACTATTTCCTGTAAATTATTGAAGTTGAGACAATCTTACAGCTCTATAGTAAAATCTCTGTTTCAGCAAATGAGAAGTTTCTGAGAATGATCACCGATTGCTTCCTGGAGATGGCTGAACTCCTGCCTGCCCATGGGAAGTGCTGAAGGAATTCCTTGTCTTGCTTTGCTTGCATACACGGCTTTTGTTTTACCTGTTAAACTGTCATTGTCTCAGCCCACGAGTTTTCTCACTTTTCCGATTCTCTCCCCCATCCTGGTGGGAGTGGGGAGTGAGCAAGTGTCTGCGTGGGGTTTAGCTGCCAGCTGCGGTTAAACCACGGCATTCATGAAGGGAAACACTAAACCTCTCCATCTAGCTTCAACCATGCGGTGGGTTTTGTGTCCTAAACCAGGTTCTTCTGCATGGCAGAACAGGAGGAAGGTGGGAATGTAGTTCATTGAGCCAGCTAGAGGAAAGAGCATTTTCAGTTGTTTGGTTTTCAACAGGAGCATCCTCAAGCCAGCACAAAATGACATAAAGCCCAAGATGGGGGAATTCAGAGCCACCACAAATGTGTTTTCTGTAGATTTCTGATGCAGCTTAGGAGTCCCACCAAACACATGCAAAAGAGAAAATACCAGTGAGGAGTGAACAGCATGGATCGTGGATCTCAATGCAGAATACCAGATGGCAGGAGAAACTCAAACAGATATATCAAAGTTTATTCAAGAAAGAAATAAAAGTCTAGAATGACTTTATTGTGAAACCTATATTCAACCAGAACTTGTGGGAGGATGTGAACAACTTAAGAGTTGCTCAGGAATAATAGGAAGCCAGAACAAAGCAAAACATTGTTTTAAAAGGTCAAGAAAAAAATAAGAGGGAGATGTCAGGGGAGCAAGTGTACTTGAACTGTTGTATTTCCACAGTCACAGCAAATACTCCTCCTATAAAATCATTAAATTGCTATTGAATTCATGGAAGACTACTAATGTTGCAGCACTTCTTTCAAATAATTAATAAAATTAAGAATGGTAAGGGAAGAGAGGCACTGTTTCAGTTTTCTCTTTCTTTTAAAAGATATAACACCATTTCTTATAATCAAAGGTTTATAATCAAATCTTTTCTGGTCTTTTCAGAATTTGTTTGTTCATTACAAATCCCGGCGTGGTGTGCCTGTTCTCCCCAAGACTGGATTAGTGTTTCTGTCCCTTTGCACTCAGGCTTGCTTAGCTACTGGAAGCCAGCCCAGCACGACCTGTCCCAGCATTTCCACAGCTCCCCATGAATATCAGCAGGGCTTTACTGTGCTCTCATACCACAGCCCAAAGGACGGGCCAGTCTGTCCATTCAGCAAACTGACTCTCTCTGTCGCTGACTTGTTTAATAGGGATTTTCTTCTCGCTGCCTGAGAAGACTGACAGGTTTATTACTGTGGCTTAAACACCATGATTTTGATCTGAGTTAGGTTCTCATATTTATTGACTGCCTTTTCTATCTCTTGAGATGGTGAATAGTACTTATGGCCATTACTTTAATATGCATGAATATTATTCACAAGTGCACTTTCAAGAGCGCTCTGCCTCTTGAGCAGATCAGGATTCTGCCAGCGCACTACTGCGCTTATCACTACTCACCAAACGACACTGCAGAGGAGCATTAACGGGTCTAGGGCTGCATTGGAAGGGGTGGGGAGGAGGCGGCCGGAGCCCGGGTTGGGCTGCTGGCAAGGGCAACCCTGGGTGGCAGTACCATTACCTCAGTGTTGCCACACACCTCTCTTACCTGCAGGCATTTTAAGCCACCAGCTTTGCAAACTGCAACTGGTTTAAACCCCCTCCCCTGGTGACGAGATGCTGAAGTGGGTCAAATGAAGGGGAAAAGGGAAGGGCAGGCAGGAGGAGAAAGGAGGGAGAGGTGTCTCCATTGCTGAGCACGTCCTTCATTGCCCCCAAAATGTGGCTGCCACAGTGCCGTCAGAGCCAAGGATCACACAAGCATTTAAACACATAGCTGAACTTTAGAGGCTAAATTCAGTAGAGGTCAAATAGATCTGAGTACTGGAGCAGGAGGTGGGTGCAAGCGGTAGGTACAAGGCAGCAAGCAGCCTGTGGGCTGACTCACTAGCAGAAGCATAGCAGAGAGGAGCTCAGATGACCTTGAGCTTTGGGAGAAAGGACAGACATCTTCATGAGTCGGCAAACACAGGCTTTGACTAGAACAGAGGATTTTTTATCTCCTGACAAAAGGTTATGCAGCAGGAGCCCTGTACCCACACACACTGGGTGCAACTACAGCTGAGAAAAGTATCAGCTAAATTTATGATCTACAGCTGCAACTGCTTCAGAGACCACATCACCCACCTACCTACTGCTGCAGGCAGCAGGGTGGGATGCCTGCTTGAGCAGAGGACCTGCCACTGGGAGCAAACCACCGCACAGGCGTGAAACAGTCCATTCTGGCAAGCCAGTTTGACTGGAAAGTAGCGTGTGTGTTCCAGAGAGAGCTAGCTGGTGGCACACTGAGCGAGTGCAAGCAGCCCAGCATTAATTTCCAGCCCAGCCTGGAAAACGTCGTGAGGGACAAGGCAGAGACATCCATGCTACCTCCTGTCTTGGGAATTTGTCAGGC